TTGGATTTTATAATTAGGGTTTGTTAATATATGTTCATTATTTCATACTTACATTTACATAAGTGAGTGAATGTTTTCTCTTTGTTCCTTTAAAGGTAAAATTTGTTGCGAAAGAATTGGATTTTTCTAAACATATTTAATTATTTCCATGCTTCATTGTCCTTCTCATTTTTATTTTTCGATATAGTGCGTAATCGCTATATGGTAACTGTTATTTGGCTAGAATTTTATGCGCGAGTTTGTTGTAATTTCGGGCCGATATTGTAGCAGAATTTTGAATAACACTTTGTTACAGCTTGAAACGGAATATCTGTGTGTATTAATTCTTCTGGGTTACCAACTTTGCTACAAAAAAAGGTAAATTTAGTTTTCTGAAAGCAGTTTCTCACCTAGAAAATTCACTTTACTCTTTTCTAAATTACTCTTTCTTTTTTCTGTCTCAGTCACCTAAAAATTCTACTGAGTCAGTGTATTTGTCATAGCTGTTCTCTTTTATTCCCGTATTTTTCATTATAGGTAAAAAAAGGTAAGAAAGAATAAATAAAGGGCATTTTGTTACACGAAGGTATCTTCTGAATACTCATATCTTCAACAAGTTCTTTCTCGTTTTAGCTTCGTACATATGTCTTTTTTTTCTTTTTTATGAAGAAGGAGAAATTTAAATTTTTCAAAGCAAGTTACCCCTGTCGTCACAAATTGTTCCAGCAGCACTTGTTTAACCATTTTTTTGTCAGAATTTTTATGTATTAAAAAAAAGAAAGGTCAATTTATATCTCTCTCCCTTTACCTTTGTATGAAAATTTTACCAGTTTTTCGGCACCTTGATCACTCATTCGTGTAACACCTTTGGAGCTTTTTTTGGCATTCTTATATGAGTCTGAAGATATTTTATGCTTTTCTGAATTGGTTGAAAAATAATAACGTTGTAAATTCCTAGTTCGAAGTTTATTATAGAGATACGCTACAGTGAATGGAGCTGCTGTTGGCGTTACCGGGTCTACCTTAAAAAGTGGGCAATGATAATTGCGAATGAAAATAAACCTCTGTTAATGCCAACAATGACAACGGAAGTTTTGAATGAACCTGAGGAGATGACTAAAGTCGAAGCGCACGATGAAGCCAGTGGTGAAATAGGGTCGTCTCCAGTGGTAATTATGCGTTTTAATTATTTAATTTAAGGCATGACCTTTTATGTTTATATGTCTGGGTTATATATAGTCGACTGGTGATCACTTCTTTTGCAAATAGTTAAAAAGCTTAAATAACAGCTTTAAATTTTTTTTTTTTTTTTGGTATTTTTTTTCAATATTTCAGATGGACATTGCAGAGCAAGAAGATGGCGAAGTTAGTGACGCTAGTTCTGCAGTAAGCTACTTTATGCTAATTTTTTTAAATATCGCATGGGATAAGGTTTTATACTGATACATTTCTTTAGTCGTTCCATTATTTACATTTATAGTAATTGTAATTACAGATGGCGAATGATGAGGGTGAAATTGTTGAACATCGAGGTGTAGCAGATGATGAACAGTCGACGAAAGCGGCATCTGTGAAAGGTGAAGATGATCCAGATGAGGAAAAAAAATCGACGCTTCAGAAATTAAAAAGCATGAAGTTTCGCGCAAAAACTAAAGTGGCTGCTGGGAGGTGGGTATTTCTGTTTTTGATATTGTAGCTCAATTTCGTTACATTATATTAGTTTTTGATATTCTTTTTGTCTCGGGAAAGCTTTGAATTTGATCAATGTATGCTTTTTAGTCCTATGCATGAGAGGAAGGATCGTGAGAAGAAGGAGAGACAGACGTAAGAGTATTTTAAATAATATTTTTCATTTTATCGAAATAACAGCATTTTTAAGGTGCTCAACAAGTTAATGGCTCGAATTTTGTCGACTTGATTTTTCTTGAGGTGTTCTACAACATTTACTTATTATATGAATTTGTACTTTTGCGTTTCTTTTTATGTCTTCCACGCCGCATATGCTTTTTTTTTTAAAGACCTATATCTACTCGTACTGCTTCTCCGAGAAGGGACAATGAGGAAGACCGCAGGTTGAGAAAACGTCGTTGGGAAGAGCACATCGTTGAGGTATATATCATATAGTTTGTGTCCAGCATAAGGTGTCATTTTTTATGTAGTTTTACTTCCAGAGCTGAAAAAGGGTTAAATAACAGTTTGTTTTTCAAACATGTGTTTTGAGTTAGAAAATTAAACTTGATTCAGGGGCGTCCATCGCCTCGGGGAGAAGTGCGACAGCGGTCGTTTGTTCGTGAACCACTCTCTCCTGTGTCCCTCAGGCAAAACGAACCGCAGAAATTAGTTGACAATCCTAGTACTTTACGACCGCGTGTGGAACAAGTGGTAAACATTACTGAGCCCGAGGTTCCTTTTCTATACATACTGTTATATAATTTTTGTTTTTTTGTTTTGTTAACGATTTTTTTTTTGGAGTTTTATGATGGTTTTTTTTTAGTTTAAGGCATCTATTCTTATTTTTATCACTAGTTCGTATCCACACCAGTAAGATTTTTCAAAAAATTTATTCCAGATTACTGCCTTGTCAGATTCGGAATTGCGTTCGATGATTGCGCGTATGTGTGAACTGGAAAAAGAGCAACTACGGATTTTTAATGGTCGTTTGAGGCAGATTGAGTAAGTTAATAGTTCTTTGAAGTGAGCTTTGCTTGCTGAGTGCTGTATCTTTTTCGTTCCCGGTCATGGACTTTTCCATTAAAAGCAGTTGAAAGGAACTTAGTATTATTATTACTTTAGAAATTGTTTTTTTATTCATAACGGTATTATTTCGTTTTGCTGTTATCGTTTTTTGGCTTTTTAGTGAAGGACTTACTGCCACTTAGTCCACAAGTTGCTTTTTTGGAGGTTTTATGCGTCTGACTAATGCTTTTTTCATGGTACTATTGGCAACGAATAACGTAGAAATTTCTTTGTTTCAATATTTCTCTTACAATACTGATGGATTGTTTAGGACTTTACACGGTTTTTTTAAAACTGCTAAAGAAGATGTTGACCGTCTTTTTACTGTTGTTCCTCCTCACATGCGGTCGGACATCTTACATTTACCTGGTTATCCTGGATCTGTTAGTAGACGTGAGGAAAGTCCCGCAGCAGCGATAAATGGTAGGTTTCAAAGTCGTGTCACGAATGTTTTCGACAATTTTTGGATTTATTTTTTGAAAGGTCACTACGGCGTAGAATGTTGGCCGCAAGTAGAGATCAAAGAGAGGAAATGAATGGGAATTACATTGTAGGCATTCCATCTCAGCAACTTAATGGTGGGATGCGAGGAATGCCAATAAACAACCGGCCTTCTATCGCTGCACCTTTTGGCCCTCATGGAATACCTATTTCTGGGATAGCTCCTCCACCTGGTATGCCTCCGATTGCTCATGGTATTCTGCCTCCCCACAATATACCACCACCTGTTATGGGGCCGATGCCTGGTTTGCCACCAATGAGCGGGATGATACCCCCTCCTGGTATAGCTCCTCCTTCTTCTGGTGCACCTCCAAATGGTCCACCAATCAATTCTCAAACCGGAAATAGTGTTCCAGGACCGTCATCATCTGGTATTATTATTATAAGTTCAGTAACCTTTGATTCAGTGAATGAAGGTTTTTAAAAAATGTTTTTTAAATCCTATTTCTGCCGAGTTTGTGTAAAAAATGTATTCAGAATTATCAATAATTAATTTTCTAGCAACTGACGTTCGCCCTGGTACTGGTAATGTAGTACCTTCTACGAGTCAGCCTTCTCAGGAGCAACCTCCAAATTCTCGTACTGCTTTCCCAGTTGCTCCTTCATTACTGAATAGGTTTTTTGCTATATCTCTTTGCTTACCGTTTTGAAGCGTTTGTATTTTTTGAATTCAAGTGGGTAATTTTAAATGGCTTTTGACGTTCTGCTTTCCCTAATTATTTCGCTTTTTTCAGAAACCAACCCACCGCTTTTGCTACAAACCCTCCAACTGCTGATAACACACAACAATCCTCATCGGGACCACAGTCTTTTTTGAGTATGCCACCACCGTCATCTCATATACAACCAGGACATTTTGGGCCAGCGGCAACTGGTGTATCGGCGACGTCGTTTGGACAAGTTGTCACTGAGGCTTTGGCACCTGCATCGGGAATGCCAAACTTAAGTAAACCTCCACCGTCTTTTCCTGGAGCTACTTCAAGCTTGCCTCCGAATTTTTCTGTTCCTCCTCCAAGTTCTACTGTTGCGTCTTCATCGGTTGTCACTGGTGCTTCTTCGCTCACAGTGACATCAGTGTCCAATTTAAATGTCCAAACGAGTTTATCATCTTCGCATCCTCCAGGTGCGTCTTCACCGACAAGAAATCCAAGGAAATCGCCAATTCCTGCCACGACAGCGTTGCCGCCCGTAAACCTTTCCGTTCCTCCTCCCATGTTCAATCTTCCACCTCCACGCAGCGGTGTTCCGTTTACCACACCACCGCCTAACACAACCATGCCTCCTCTGAACCGACCACCACCTGGTACTCAGTGCACCGTTTCAAACTTGGTTCCTGGTGGAGTTCCTAACTTGGCTATGAATATGCCTACAGCTATAAATCTCACTAGTGCTCCCTTGGCGGCGCCACCAAATTTGAGTCAACCACCACCAAACCTGAGCTTCCCACCACCAAGTATTCGTCAGCCAACTAATTTGGGAACGCCTCGTCCAGCTATTCCGTTGAGCTCCGGTGCGGCTGCGACTATACCGTCTGCAACCGCTTTGCCGAGAATGACAGTACCTCCTCCAAATATAACTACATTGTCAGTCCCTCCACCCAGTACTGGTGCTAAGAAGTTACCAGCAGTTGATTTATCGAGTGGATCTGGTATCGGAACATCCTCAACTGTTTTTCATAGCTTTGCTTCACCATCACAACAAAGTAGTCATTTTACAAACCGGACACTGGCAACCGTGAATGTGGAAGTACGAGGTTATTTAAGTAAACTCTTGTTTTTTAATTGTTTTCTAATCTTATTTACAGATTGTTACGAATTTCTATAAAACCTCTGTGGTAACTACATCAACATATCAATCTCATTATTAAATCAGGAGTGAGTGAGTTTCAGATGTCTCAAAAATAAAGTTGACGGGAGAAAACAATCGTTTGATTACGGTTTCTGACGAAGAAGAGACTGGAAAGTGATTGAATCGTTTTGTGTGATTGGTCTTCAAATTTACAAAGTTTCGTTGCTCTTCGTAAGTTCAGTATGCAGTTATCTTACTTTGTTTATCAATCTGTCTGTTACAGTTTGACCAAGTGAACTTATGAAGTTCAGATGCGCTTTAAATGTTTTTAGGAGTACACTTTAATTTGGTGACTTGAAACACTGTATGAAGTTTTTAACCCATCTTTTTGCTTTGTTGCTTTTACTTTGTCTGTTACATTTTGAATGGCGTCGAAAAGACTTTTTTTCTTAAATTTGGAAAGCAGAATACTTTTTAGCAGGTTTCTTCAGGAAGTTAGGTGAAGTATGGACTAATATGAACTGTTCGCCTACAATTTTTAGATGAAAGGAATTGCACTTCCTCATCAAATTTATAAGCTGTAGGGACTATTTTTTTTTTTTTTTTTTTTTTTTTTTTTTTTTTT